TTCAGGCATGTATGCTTGGTTGAGCTGATGTCGCGGTGGGTGATATCTTAAAAGACTCATATGCTGTCTCAGTTGTTGTACAAAAGTAGTTTCGTCAGTTGGAACTTCAGTGGCTGGGTTGAAATATTCTCCAGGTAGTCGTAAAGTAGTTCCATAAACTAATTCTGCTGGACAACATTTGATATCTTGTTTTATTGTCGAACGTATTCCAAGAAGTACGAGAGGTAATTTATCGCTCCACTTATCATCGTCCTTCACTGCCATCAATGATGCTTTCAGTTGACGATGAAATCTCTCCACTAAGCCGTTTGAACTGGGATGATATGCAGTAGTACGTATACGTTTGATTCCCAGTAGTTCTGTGAGTTGTTGGAATAAATGGCTTTCGAATTGGGAACCTCTGTCTGTAGTAATAATGGTGGGCACTCCGAAGTTGGAAATCCAATTTTGTACGATGCTCTTTGCAACGGTTTCAGCAGAAATATCAGGTAAGGGACAAGCTACTGGCCATCTCGTAAATCTGTCAATACACGTTAAAATGTACGTAAAGCCATTAGATGGTGGTAATGGTCCAACGATGTCAATGTGTATGTGTTGGAACCTACCATCAGGTTCTGGAAACTGTCCATTAGGCGAAACTGTATGTCGTTGTACTTTTGACTTTTGGCAGGCTAAACATGATCTGGCCCACTGTTTAATCTCCCGATTCATATTCGGCCATACATATCGGTCACTTATCAGTTTAACTGTTGCTCGGATGCCAGGGTGAGAAATGCCATGTACTTTGGAAAAAACTGATCTTCGCATTTCTAGTGGGACAAAAGGGCGCGGTTTACCTTTGGAAACATCACACGTAATAATTAGTCCTTCATCAAGCATAACATCTTGCAAACGTAAGGAAGTACTCGTGCTATTTTTTATTCTTTTCAGATCCTCGTCCATAGTTTGCAGTCTAGCCATATTTTTAAGATCAAATTGGTCTTTTTCTAAGGTATTTATATGGATGCGGGATAACGCATCTGCTACCTCGTTTTTATGTCCTTTTATGAATCTAATATCTGAAGTGAACTGAGAAATGAACTCGAGGTGTCTGAGTTCTCTTGGCGAGTACTTATCGTGCTTTGCATTCATGGCCTTGGTTAGTGGTTTGTGGTCTGTGTAGATGGTAAACGGTATTCCTTCTACCATATGACGAAAATGTTTAACAGCAAGATAGACTGCTAGTAATTCTCTACTGAATGCACTATATCTTGATTGAGTGGCGTCTAGACGTTTGGAGAAAAAGGAGAGAGGTTGCCATTTCCCAGCAGAAAATTGTTGAAGAACTGCACCGACGGCGACATCTGATGCATCTGTCATAATCGCTATAGGAGCGTTGACGTCACGACGTACTAGTAAAGTTTCTGAGCTTAGAGTTTGTTTCAGCTTTTCAAATGCCTCGATTGCTGAAGTACTCATGTGCAGCGATTTTGCATGACCTTTTAGTAAATCTGTCAGAGGTTGGGCCAGCTGTGCACAGTGAGGAATGAAACGGCGATAAAAATTGACGAGACCAAGAAATCTGCGTAACTTTTTGAAGGAATCTGGAATCGGGTATTCTTTTATGACTTGCAGCTGTTCTGCTATTGGTCGAATGCCTTGATTGTCTACCTGATGTCCCAAAAATTTTATAGTTTTCTTACCGAATTCACATTTACTTGGTTTAATGACAATTCCATATTCGGCTAAACGTTTAAAGAGTGTTTCTAAGTGATGTTCGTGCTCCTCAGGGGATTTACTTGCAACCAGTATATCATCGATATAAGCGTAAGTGAATGGGAGGCCGTGCAATACCTGGTCAATGAATCTCTGAAATGTTTGAGCTGCGTTAGTCAAGCCAAATGGTAGGCGGACGAACTCGAATAAGCCAAAAGGAGTGGTCACCGCCGTTTTGGGGATGTCCTTGGGCTCGACCGGTATATGGTAGTATGCACGAACGAGGTCAATTTTGGAAAATATCTGAGCACCTGCCATGTTATGGAAAAAATCGTGGATGTGCGGAATTGGGTATCTATCTGCTATCGTCTGCTTATTTAAAGCTCGGTAATCTCCACATGGTCGTATCTCTGTTGAGTTTTTCTTTGGTACCATATGCAGTGGTGATGACCACGGGCTGTTTGACGGTCGTATTATTCCTAGATCTAATAATCTGTTGAATTCTGCTTTTGCTATTTGCATTTTAGCTGGATCTAGACGACGTGGTTTTGCTGAGACCGGTGGACCTTTAGTTACAATATGGTGTGTAACGTTGTGCTTGAGAGAGGCTGTGGAGTAATCGCTCTGTGTCAGTTCAGGAAATTTCTTTAGCAAAATATCGTACCTGGATAATTGATCTGTTGTGGCTACCATCAAGCGAATACTCTCGACATCTGTGGAGATGCCTGAAATCGATAGTTTACGACTGGTATCTATCAATCTATGGTGACTAGAGTCAACTAGCAATTCGTAGTGTTGAAGAAAATCTATTCCAATGATAGGAAAGGTTACGTCGGCGACTACGAACTCCCACTCAAATGGCGTACTGCATCCAAAATTAAGTTTTTGCCTCCGAGTTCCAAATGTTTTTATGGTAGAATTGTTCGCAGCCTTGAGAACTAATGCTGGGTTTGGTTGTAAGCGCTCGTTGGGTGTTGGGGGAACTACACTAATTTCTGCACCAGTATCTACCAGGAATTGTGCCCCCGTTGTTTTGTCTGTCACCCTGAATAGACGGCTGTGGGACGTGTGTTGGCCAGCGACCGCAGTCGTCACCGACCGCCGGCCTTTTCGTTTCCCAACGCCACCGTTTGTTGGAAAGCACAAGGTTGTGTGCACCGTTTTGCGTGTACCCCAAATTTCCGATGATACCAGCATATATTCTGTTGTAAGCTATATTTACGCCTATTGCGTGAGTGGCTACGTTGTCTTCTGTACGTTGTGGTAGGTTGTCTATTAACCCTCATTGCCATTAATTGCTCAGTGAGCACGTCGATTTTACGTTCTAAGGCTTCTATGCGCTCGTTTGACGTTTTGTCGACTCTGATGGCTTCTGCTTTATTCAGTGGGTCTATCGTGATAACTTTATCTGGTATTCTGCTAGTGGAAGCGACAGATTGAGGTGTTGACCTCTCGTACATGCGATCTGCGATTTCAGTGAGCCTTTCTATGTCAATGTCGTCGTCTCCGAAGGCAAGAACCTGCTGGATGTTTTGCGGAAGTCGTCGCAGCCAGATTTGATAAAAGAGACGTTTATCGATTTCTCTTCCTGCAACTAGGCTTTGCATATGCCTCATGAGTTGAGATGGGGTTTTATCACCTAACTCAACATTGCTTAACAGGCGATCGAGTGCTTGCCTATCTGAAAGCGAAGTGCATCGCAGTACCTCTTCCTTCAACTTGTCATAAGGCGCTTCTGTGCTGGGATGAACGATGTATTGTCGTACCTGCTCGGCGACTTCGTCTGGTAGCACTGTACTCAAAATGCCAAATTTAGCTGTCTGTGATGTGAGCTTATTGCTAGCCAAATAATGTTCCAGTCGAGCAAACCAAAGATGAGGGTCTCTGGGCTTAAAAACTGGTACAGTAAGAGAGATAGCACTAACAGATCCCAGCTCTAAGTTATCAGAGGTATTGGAAGACATGTTACAATTCGTAAAAAATTGGTTTAAGAGTAACAAAATAGCAAAATTTTTGCACAATAAGAATATGGCAAAACAGAAAAATGCAATGCAGGTGCTTACCACAAATTACTGCAGGTTGTGCGATGAGCAAACACAAGAATGAGTTCGGAATATGTAATAAATATATAGATCCACGAAGGTTAAAGTTTTATTAATCCAACAAGTGTAACAACGCGTCGAGGTCAAAAGTCGTCGTCGTCGGAGTCAGCAAGTTATCGTAGGGCTCACCAATTTGTTGCTGCTCTATTTTGACTGAACTGGCGTACACGTATCTTCTAGCATTTCTTCGCGTTTACAATTGTGCCCTAACGTTGCGATTACTCGACATCCGCAACGTAATTCAAAAGGCACTTGCGAAGGAATACGATAGTGTATTATTGCAGCAATCAACAATTCAAAAATCGAGCGAGTACAAAAAGTATCAATTGTTAACATGCAAGATTTAGAGTAATAAACAAATCAAAGTACAATTACACAATGAAAGTATAGTGCGATGATGAGTAATAAAACGGGTCACTACAATATATATAATTCTAGAACCAGAAGAGGAGGAAATTATCGAAAAGAATATTCTTTGCTCAATTATTTTGTGTTTTACAGACACCATTTAGTTGTTGGAAATCCTGAATTATGAAGGCTTAGCCAACATATTTACATTTGTATTGTTATTCAGCATGAACAAATCACATGTTGCCTGATTGACCCATAAATTCTCATTTCTGCCAATACTCATTAGCGACTCGCCAAAAAATGTAGTTGCCTTGAGTTCTAGTGAGAAGTGTTGAGCACTGGTGTCCCCAGTTCGGGTGTGAGAACAAATAATTGATGGCGACACTAACTGGCGGTGGTGTCAAAGACCGCCAGTTGACAGAAATCAAACTTAATGGATTGGCTACTGAAAGCCATCGCAGGCTGGCTTCGTAACTGGAAAGTCGTGGGCTCGACCTAATGGAGCTCCTAAACGCGTAGTAAACTACGATTATTTGGTTTTCAGGGGTTTGTCCAATGATACCAGTTCGCAACCTATCTTAAGAAATAATTCTTAAAAATGTTTGAATTCGATATTATATTTTCAAAAACATTACTGATAATTTGACCTTGAAATATGTAAGAATCAATAGTACAGCAATGACCAAAAGCGGTAACCGATTAAATTAAACTTTAGGCTTAATAGTAGTAATGATTGAATTGAACGAAAAAGCAATGGGTGATTTTGTTATTTTGCATGCTTCAACATTTGTTCAGACGTTTTAACAGCATACAACTGACAATCAAGAATAGATTCCTTTTCGAATAACCCTGTCATATAGATGTTTGAACAGTACTCGATGATATTTCAGTAGATTTCAATTCACTTCTTCCAAGATAATTTCTCAATTGAATAACTTTCTTTTCCATCTGAGATTTATAAAAAATAACAAACAAATGATAAATTGATTTTATACAGCATTGGGGAATTTAAACAAAATAATTGCACACAGTTAAATGTTCAATAGGTATAATTCAAAGCAAAATGATTCAGTGGAATCTTGTTTCCTTCATAGGGTAAGATTTAACTTCTAAGAAAATAAAAACAAAGAATTCAGAGAAGAAAATTCTCTTTTCGACGATTTCATTTTCATAGCTGGACAGTAGTATATATACATGAATTACAGTAGACAATAACAATCAGTTTCCCTGTGTGTACGTGGGAGAAATACAAAAATCGATAAGGTAGCTAAAAAAACTGTTGCACCTGAACTTAGAATTTAGGGGTGACACTGCGAGTGAAATACTTGGAAAATTGTCTGACCATATCACTGAGAAAAACTTTCTTTGCTGCCACTTTACGAATAACTTACTCTAGCCGTCCACTGGTGCACCTTAATGTCAAGGAAATGTTACCTGGATTGTTTAATTCCGTGTGTATTTAGGACGTTCGTCGAGATACATATCCCATTAATGCATTCGAGAGCACCTCCAATTTTGGTTGAGCGAAGGAGAACGTAGGGGAATTAATTCATCGATATTGCAACATAGTATAGACACTTACCACGCAACATCCGACACGTCATTTAATACAGTCTACAGAGTTAACCGAAAGGGACACGAGTGCATTTGCTTTGAATAGCAGAGGCATTCGCAATACGTAACACAAAGCCAGAACTTCGTGTAAAAACAATTTGTACTATCTCTTTCATTACCATGGTCTTGATTCTACTGTGTAATTCACATAATAACTTTGTTATCCTTCTTAATTCCATGTTCCACTTATGTTTTATTTCACTTTATGTTATCATATTCTAAAACTGTTTTATCTAGTCTACTATTTTGACAACATTTCACTCATCGATTCATGTCTCCATCATATTTTATTCATATATTCACATTTCCGAATGTACTTCATTTTCGGATCATCTATTTCACACATGCCCTCTATTAAACTTTAGGTTGACCTCTACTTATTTAATTGGTTGGAGGAGGATTTCGTCGTTAGCTGACATCGGTTAGAAGACCATTGGAAAACGAGCAGTGAATACTGGACAGCTGTTTTGTCAACGTAGTTTGGGACTCTTCATTAGTACGCACCCACCCACAAGGTTTCGAATCCAGGACCTTCTGGTACAAGGTGAGCTAGCTCGTAGACCATTAAGCCACTGGGACCCGATCCAAAGGCCAGTCAGTCCATGAATACTAACTTCTGCCAATTCATGACTTAGCGCGACCACTTTGTGCAATGTCTTCTTCGATGAGTTACTGCCTCATCTTCAATCTGCTGCACCCTACTGGTCACGGCTTCCCACTAGAATCCCAGGTCTGAATAGAGTCAGTCGCTAGTGAGTATCGGAGTTATTCATTCATGACAATAATCAATTGTGATGCATAATCCTATACACCAATATTATCGTAGTATTTCCATTCACCGTCAAACTTGAACATACACACACACACACACAAGAAAACTGATCGTCTGTTGTAACATATATATATATATATATATTAATGTAAGTGAAACTGGTGACTTCCTTCAGTCACCTGATTCTCGTGATATCGTGAACTTTTCAACTAAATTGCTACCAAGGTTACAGACTGAGGTCTTTGAAGCGAAACACTTTAATATATTAATGAAGTAATGTGATTGATAAGTGGGTGAAACTTTACTATTGTAACAACAGAAGACAAGGGCCAGGCAACAGAACGTTTATTACGGAAAATCAACACATATTTATAGATTTTGATGTACATTATTGTAGGTTAATGTTAGTAGAAAATACAGTCTGTTGATTGGTTGTTTCTCACACAAAGTTAACCTTGCATCTCTTGTGGCTGTGTCAGTTCATCTATATGTTAACTGTATCCGCCTGTCCATCTTGACCTTGTTTTCACATGACTAACATTGACCTCAATTACTGTCAACCAATTTAGCTAGCAGCCATCTCTCACCACAACATGACTAATATTTGATACATAAACACTGACCTCAATTACTGTCAACCAATTTGCTAGTAGACATTTCTCACCACACTATGAACGGAATAGGCACCTCTAGGTGATACTGAAAATGCTTACTCCCAAATAACAGTTTCTGCTTCATTAAGACATAAAAATCTCAGTAGGCGAAGATCGGTTTGTGACTGTAGGAACAGCTCTAATGGGTAGGAATCTGACACAGCTGCTTGTTATCGTTGATGATACTGTCGACTGTGACGGACTGGATTATGCAGTAGAACGTCAGAAGTGAGGAGACAAGATTACATTGGGTTGACAAGAAGACTCTAGAAGGTCTAAAATTCGTAACTGATTCGTGTTTAATGTCACACAAACTCGAAGTTCTACATACGAAAACCAACAAATTTCCAGAAGAGGTAGGCAGCAGAAGGCAGGACATCGAGTGAACAAGCGACGACGGAGGCGATGAAGACCCCTAACAAACAAAAACAAGCATTGACCACAGTGAGCGGAAGGAATCTAAAGGAAGTTACCTGTGCCAATCACCTGACCAGGGTAAAATCGTTTCAGTTACAGGCAGCATATGTGAGGACGTCAAAGGTAGGATCAGAAAAGCAAGGCAGATCTTCACGACTCCGAATTCACTGTGGAAATCTACTGCACTGCGAGTAAAGAACAAGATCCAGAGCTTCAACAGGAATGCCAAACCACTCAATGCTTCTGTATAGTTTAGAGAGTTGGTGTACTCATGACCAAAAGCTTTCCCAACAGTTTGCTGCGGACAAATATCAACAACTGATCCGTTTGCTTCCTACTGAGGATTGGATGGTCAGGAAGGATCAGCGGTAAGGAACTCTGGTAGCGAATCAACCAGAAACCTACCCCACCTCAAACAAATATGCCAAAGAAAACAAAGACGGATTGGACATATGCTACGCTAGGGAAATCATTGGGTGACATGGTGCGTCAAGACAGCACTCTAATTGGATTTCAATGAGAAACAGAGAGGTGGGCGTGGTTCTGAGGGTTGCGGATCGCAGAAAAGAGAGTGAGATGGTGTTACACGGTTAAAGCCTCGTGTTCCACTAGGAATCCAAGGGAATAATAATAATAAGAGCTAACCATTACTGTTCACTTACATCATTCTTATTCACCCAGTAGGGTAAGGAGACTTTCGATGTTAATGTCAGTTTTTCATATTCATCAAAAATTTGATTGGCTAAATTTTTGTCCACTGTTGTAAGAAATATTACATAATTCAGAAGGACCAATGGATTCTTACTGAAAGAGAATATTGCAAAAGAACCAAGGAAAAGAAATAGTTTTAATAATAATATTTTTGTTTTTAGTGTTCAAAGTGCCTAGCACATGCGTGTTAAGCAATTTGAGCACTACTCATATGCAACGCTGTACCAGCCCTACTAAACACAATATGCTCACTGAATGATTACACCACCTAAGCCGCAAGTAAAGATAGGAAACCACAAATAAAAAGTGGCAAAGTTGTTTACGAATGTGCTCTGACAGGACAAAAAGTTAGAGCTATTTAGGGAAAAGAATTTTGGATTTATCTACCTAGTATGGCTGAACTATTGACTTAGAGTCTGTGCATGTTAATAACACAAGGAAGGAGTGTGAAATGGCGTCCGAGTCTCTTTGTATACCCGTTTGTACAAAACTTAAAGCACTTGAAACAGTCCGAGGCGTTCTAGACATTTATCTAATCAACTTTAAGCTGACCAGTCTGATGTTTTAATTCAAGACTTAGGTTTATTTTGGTATCATGGAAAGTGGACAACATAGGGATAAAAGTGTTCCGTATTATTATTATTCCCTTGGGTTTCGAGTGGAACATACCGCTTCAACAACACATCTTCACTTTATTTTCTTATCTGATGTCCTCTTCGGCGGGCTAGCTCCACGATTGTCCATAATTTCTCATCTTCTCCTCCCTACACGATCTCCTCCATGTCACTTTCGCACTGACCATCCACTCGTCGCTCCTGATCGGCATTCCATTCGAGGGCCTAGCATGTGATGTCATTCTTTGGCCACCTCAACGTATGCCCGATGAATAAATTTCCATTTTCTCCTACATATTTGTTGGGTAATCGGTTCTCGCCTGTTGGTTTATTCCCAGCCAGAGTTTCTTTTTACAGATTCTTTCTGCCAGTTTGATCTTCAGTAGGGAGTCAGCGAAGAGGGTAGCTATTGATAAAAGTCTGAAATAGCTTGTTGGAAATCCTTTTTGTAATGTACACGCAGTACAAGTTTCTGACCCATATAGAAGAAATGACTGACAAACTTCACATGTGTTGAAAATCCGAAACCTCCGCTTTATACTGAGGCAGAGTTCAGTGTAGAAGATTTCCAAACTGGTTTCAGGTCGATGAGGGCGTAACTTGCCTTTCCGATTCTGGGCTGCCTTGATGTCTTCATCCAATCCACCTGTACTTGAAACGATGCTTCCTCGATAAGTGAACGAGGTAACCTCTTTCAAATTTCTCCCGTTGATGGTGATTGGTACTGGTTATTGTTGCTATTGGTTGGTTGTCTTCATCACCTCTGTCTTCTCTATGTTCATCTGGAATCCTGCCAGCTTTTTCAGCCAGTTTGTTGGTTTTCGCCATCCTGCAAGTCTTCGATTTTGTATGACATTAAACATAGATCACCCACACGCGAAATCCAGATCTTCTAGACTCTTCTATTATCGGCCAGTGCAGCGCACTCCTGTCTTCTCACTCCCATTGCACAGTATAACGCATAATCCAGTACACCATAATTAAAAGTACCATCGGTGATAATAGGCAGTCAGCCTTATCTTACTCCTGTATTCACTTCGGATGCCTCGCTGAATTTTACTCTGTGGGTCACTTGTCACGTGGCATTGCTATTTAGCTGTTGAATGAGGTTAATAAAGACTTGTGGCACACCATAGTATTGACATTTTATACAATCTCCTATGGTTCAACAACAGAATAATCATCGTTACCTCGCGTAAATTTCAAATTGCGAAGTTGATTCCAGGTATTATAAATTCACTGAAGTAGTTAGACAAGATTTGGATGGTTGAAACTAATCCAGCTCTTCGAGTCGAGTCAGAGTGAGTGTAGTGCTAGTAAGTGTGACCTCAGAAGGAAGAAACAGACGTTTGGGGCAAAGATCTTTTCGATAATCTGGCTAGTGAGTACTACTGTGAGTACAAGTGAGTAGTATCAAACTAATCATACCAACCAACTAACCAACAGTATATACTATCAGTACAAAAGTTAAGTTGTGGTGGAGATTTGTGGATGGCACCTTCACAATGTCGAAAACAAGACATATCTTTAGTTTCTTCACATATATAAATTCAATTATATTCGAGTCACAAAATGAACAAGAACAAGTGGCTATGTTAGATTGCTAAACAAAACAACCAGGAGACGGTAAACCAACGCATTCTAGTAAATATTTAGTCCTTAAGTCATCTCATTCATTATCTGTAAAGGAAGGCTTGGTTAAATGTCTAACAAACAGAGCAATAACTCTCAATGGTACTTGAGAAATCCTAAATGATGAAATGAAACATACAGAAGAAGCGTTGGTGTTAAATAACTATCCCATAAAATTGATTGGGAAGATCACAAAAGCTCACAATAAAATCAAACATAAATAAGGAAGAATTTAAAGCATTTATAGTTTTACCATGTAAGAAAGGGACATTTGAAACCCTGTATATGATTCTTAATAGGGAAGGAATTAGGATGGCATTTAAATCTACAAAATCACCCAGGTAGGACAAGCTCTGTAGGTTAAAGAACCCCATTGATCCAACTAGACAAAATAATGCCACTTATAACATGTCTTGCAATGACTATGAGGTAAACAATATAGGTCAAACCAGTAGATCAGGGGTAGTCAGACTGTCAGCATACAAGAGCTTAGCTAAGGGTCAAAAGACTGACACCACAAGGCATGCACTAACAAACAATCACACACACAAAATAGGGTTGAACATAGGTACCTGAAGTTGTGAGAGTAATTTAAGCTACTGGGGTGACAGAGTCTGGTCACAGAATCGTTATTCAACGAATCTACACCTAACACGTGAAATGGGAATGACTGAACGTCAATACGAGGGATATTTCTACCAATACATAAGAAGTAATGGAATTCCAGGGGAAAATACACAAACAAACTGAGAAAGTTGCCATGGGGTCACCCTGATTGTGGCAGATATTTTCATGGATAGGTGGGAAAACAAGGCGATTGGAACGTTCAGTCCCAACCCAAAAGTATGGTGGAGGTATGCAGATGACACATTCACTGTACTTAGAACACAAGATATAGACAGATTTTTCGAACACATCAACTCGAAGGTAGGGGCAATTCAGTTCACTTATGAATTGGACAGTCATGAACCAGAGCTTTCAGTGTTAGATTATGGAGTAAAAAGAGGAGAAGATAGGAGGTTAAGCACACTAGTGTTTACAGGAAACCGACACATTCAAACAGATATTTGGACTTCTGATCATCCAAACCTACGACAGTAAAAATAGGATTGGTGAAATGTTTGAGTGATAGAGCACAAAAACTCAGTAGTACCAAGAAAAATCTAAGACAGGAAGTGATACATATAAGAGAAGCCTTGAAACTTAATAATTACCCTGATAAATTAGTCAGGAAATATGTAGGGAAATGTAAAAATAAAATTAATAATGATAGTAGTGATAGTGATAATAATAATATTAATATTAATGACGACATGCATGTCAAATATGCACAAGACAACACCAACAATAAGGAATCGAAATCATCAGTAGTAATTCCATACAAGGAAGGAACCTACTAAACCTTACGCAGAATTCTTAACAAGGCAGGAATAAAAGTGGCTGGCATTCAACCCCACAGACTCAATTGGAAATAAGCTTTGTCGGTTAAAGGATCCTGTGGAGCCTTTAAAACAAAACAATTTAGTTTATCTAATACCCTGCTGCAGTGATTGTCAGATCAAATACTTAGGTCAAAGTAGTAGAACAGGGGAAGTCAGACTAGCTGAACATAAAAAGTTAGCAAAATCTAGATTGGTTGACCCGAATAAGATAAGAAATCTAGGGAATAGTTCAGCTATAGCACTACATGCAGTTACACACAACCATAAAATAGGATGGATGGGATGGGATGATAGTTTTAAAATCTAATGTCACAGGGTGGAGGGAGAGATTGATAACAGAAGGTTCATTTATCAAATCAACTGGAAACACGTGTAATAGGAATGATTCAACACCTGTCCCAGATATCTGGAAAATTCTACAACCCCTACGACAAATATGAGAGGACAAAGAAAACTATAAAACTCAAGTGTCGAAGTCGTGTGATTATAATTGATATGATTAGGAACCGCAATAAATTTTGTTCGAAACCTCGTCATCCAGTAAATAGTAATACTGTTTCACTGTGTGATATATCTAATAAACTAATATGGAATTACTTACTACCACAGTGTTCAAGTTTTACACATATATTGAAATAATGGAATAGAAAAACTGGCCTTGAAACACGTCTTCCCTCAGTGTACCTATTTAACTGAGTATAATTATTCAATGATGAAAAAAGTCAAAGAGAATTTCTTACCCATCAACGCATAAAAATATCACTTACCTGTTTTGTTTATATGCGCACATAAATGCTTCATGCGCCTTTGAATATTCTTTTAGCATAATTAAACAATAGGCTAAAAAACAATATAACATTCCAATATCAAATGAAACTTTTTGATTCATTGAACACATTGAATTTTGTTTCACTGAATTATATAACTGTATCGATGTATTCAAATGGCGGAATCCACTTATCCATTGTGATGTTTGAATGTATATTAAGCCTAAATTAGCTGATATTCTCCAATCGAATGGGGTTAAATATAGAGCACGTTGAAAACATGTGATAGACTATAAAATTAAGAGAACACAATAAGAAAAAACCGAAGTGTTGATTTGTTTTATTGATTTTATTGATTTCAAGTTCGATCATTAGTTGAATTCAGACAGATAACCATTGAAAACCACCATGAAAAAATGGACAGTTGTTTCGTCCTTGTTTTGAACTCCACAGCAGTACTCTGGTGGGGTCATGGGTGTGTATTTCTGAAGAGTCCCAAAGTGGGACGAAACAACTCTCCAGAGAACAGGGATTTTCAATGGTTCTATTACTGAATCCACTTTGTGATCAAACTTGAGAAATCCCAGTTGAAAAAATCAACGGATAAAGCAGTTTCCTGGAAAATTTTTGAAGAACTCAGTAGAAATTTAATTTAATTTTAGATTTGCCCCGTTGATTGATTGGACCGAAGTGCTCAGTCTCAGGTTGACAAGTCGGCTTCTTGTGCAGATGCTTCGGCGATGTCTGGGCATTTAATTGGAAATTAATTGGTGGATGGTGACTAGCAGTGGAATCCAGCCAGGATGCGCACTTCGTCCTAGTTGGGACTCGTCGTCTGGATGTAACTGCATTTCCCAGTGGGTGATGATGTTCCCACCGAGGCTCCAACCCAGTGCCCATAGTTTCAAACGCCAAACCATTATCCACTGGACCACTTGGGCCACGAGAGCCACCTCTTGTGCACTAGGCACTGGGTTGGAGCCTCGGTGGGAACATCATCACCCACTGGGAAATGCAGTTACATCCAGACGACGAGTCCCAACTAGGACGAAGTGCGCATCCTGGCTGGATTCCACTGCTAGTCACCATCCACCAATTAAATTCAGTAGAAATTTATTTAATCTATAACAATTGGTAGACATATTTTATATTGTTAAAGATTATTGTAGATTAGATTTCAAGTAATTCAGCGAAGAGACTCTATTCGCCGAATTTATTATCAAGCTGTACAGTCGTATGTATATGGCTGTTAAGAAGTTATATCCGATGAGGGAATTGAATCATAGGTGTGAATGCATAAAATAATAATAGTATGAAATGCAATTAAAACTAAAATGTTTGTGATTATAATCATACTTAAATGTCAAATGGCAAAGCAAATTAATGTCATATATAGAATAATTCATAGGATGGATAGAACTTGAAAAAGGGTGTGCAATTATAGGATTAGTAGGCAAATAAAATAAAAATAAAAACGTTACGTAATGTTGAGTGAAATTTGATAAAATTCAACATTGCAAAACAGAATTTATTTAGAATGACAAGTGGAACAAGTGAAATAATTCCGAGGACAGTTCAAATTGAGAACAGTAATAGTAACAATTGACGTAATAAAGGAAGAGTATGCAAATTGAATAGACAAAAATGAAAAAACTGGTATAGTCAAAATATGATTAGGGTTTAGCATACTTTAGCATCATGGGATTAAGATGATGAATGTTGGAGAAGTTGAAAGAACTTTTTCTGTATACAGAGATCTGGCTTTTCTATTTCGATAACCAAAGTGTCAGCAATACAGATGGGTTGGATACGTAGTGATTTGGGCTAATTATTTTTTGCCTTGTAGATGACTGTAAAGGTGGAAGCTATAGAGATAGGGTGATCACTATCAACGAGATGTTCAATGATCGCGCTTCTTATTGCTCCCCTTCCACCTGTTCGTAACCATGGAGGATAGTGTTCTTGCACCCTCTTGGACAAAACTCGATTCGAACGACCAATATACCTATTTTATGCATTCACATCTATGATTGAATTCCCTCAGAGGATATAATTTCTTGAAAAGGCCATATATATACGATTGTACAGCTTGATAATAAATTCGTTGAAGAGTCTCTTCGCTGAATCACCACTTGTTTTGATTTTCTATAGATTTCAAGTGTTCACGAATTAGTAGATGTTAATGTTCAAAGGTGATTTAGACTGATATTATCCCTGTACTTTTAATGCTTCACTGCAACACATAGTTAGCATAAGATTAGGAAAATTAGGGGGATATGAAGGCAATGATGTCGAAAAATAGGATCTTGGAAACAGTTAATCCTCCATACGAATTGAGAACAAGCAAGAAATGTTGTTATTAAAGCAGGATTTAATGAATTCATCGAATTTCGGTAGAATTCTTCGTCTGAATTGGTCACGCGAAACGATAGGTGACTCATTTAGACAAAAAAAAGTGCAATCTGCAAAATACATTGTGATGACTGTGAGATCAACTAAATAGGTCAGACCAACAGATCGAGAATAGTCAGATTATCGGAAAACAGGGATTCTTTTATTGTAGGTGGATTCCACACCGTATTTTTTTTAAAAATATGGAATTTTCAGCATGTGATATTGGTGGCCCAAATACCGCAGACCGACCAATTGATATCAGGTGTGTGTCGGCATAGGATCCAACCCTGGACTATATACATGGTCGGCGAGAATCCTAGCCGCTGTGCAACTGACGCACAGTGCAGAATAATTGACACTGTCAAGATAGATAGTTTAGAGAAAAATCTCAGCCAATATAATGCATGCATTAACACATGAATTATGCAATAGGGCAGGACAACATACTACTCGTTAATTGAGATGAATAGTTGTATACTACTCACTACGTCAAGTAGTAGTGTGGTGATAGTTGTGTGCAAGACAAAATTGAAGACAACAATTTGTGTCAATGTTTACGTCCCGAATCGGGGTCATGAGAAAAACGATAACAAAGACTAACTCAACAACCAATCATAACAGACTTAACGTGGGCGGATACGATTCGCAGATATATCACCAGACTGTCTACGAAACGGCAACAAAGAGGTGACAGAATAACCTTCAGCAGGAAAACAACCAATCAGAAGACGTTACCTCTCTGCTAATAACAACGAATAATAATGTACATACTAATCTATAAATATGTGTTGATTTTCTCAATAAATGTTCTGTTGCCTGACCCTTGTCTTCTGTCGTTACAATAGTGCTTCATAGCTTGATTATCGAAGAGATCTAAACACCAGACCGCCGTTTTGCTCGTTTAAGGCCAAGTTCATCCTTGGTATACCCAGTTTAACACCGTTCATAAAGCTCAGACAGTGTGAACTCTATAATTTTGGTTCCTAAAGAAGACTGCGATGAAATCCTGCCTCCTTGAACAGTGCAAAACTGAAAATTAATTGACAAATTGCGAATATGACTTAAGGTTTTAACAGTTCGCCCAGTTGGCGAGACAGAAAAAGTGTGGCATTGCAACTGATTCGGCTATCTAAGTTGAGTTCTCAGACCGGGCACACTGCTAATCAGTTTGGCTCCTAATGGGCGAAACAGCCATCAGATATTTAGATCACTGTGACAATCAGGATAGTAATCACTACTGGTTGATAGGAGGGGTATAAAACTACTCACCTCAGTCAGTCAGTATTATGTAGTATCATGTAAAGATGCTTGGTCTCTTGATTACCATTCATGATATCAAGTAGATCACACTTTGCATGTGACCTGAATAATTCTGATCTCCAAAGGAGACTGTAGTGTAAATTGCAAATTATAAGTTTGATTCTGGATGGGGCATACGCACAGCTCTAAAGACCAACAGAAGTATGTGTAGAATGACGTTGGTCATCGAATCTGTGTTAATCGGATTCACACACTTAACACGTGTTATAGGAATGATGCAGAGGTTACTTTCTTCACTTATCTAGGCAGCTAGCATCGTTACAACCACTGGCAGTCGGAATGGGTGAAGATGTCAACGCCAGCCAGCCAGAATCGGAAAGGTGAGATATGCTCTCATCAATCTGAAACCAGTTTGGAAATCTTCTACACTAACTCAGCCAGCCAGCATAAACAACAAGATTCGGATTCTATTCAACACAAATGTGAAATCAGTCAGCCAGTTCTTCTATAGCGGGTCGGAAACTTGCACTGTGCTCGCGTCACGGAAAGGATTTCCAACAAGCCACTGTGGACTTTTATCAAGAGCTGTCACCTTCGCCGGCTGACTCCATAGTGAAGGTCAAATGGCCAGCCGGCCAGCCATAACGAATTGGCAACAAGAAACTCTGCAGTGGAACAAACTAAGCAACAACCGATTGCAACTAGACCTATTCAGGTAGTAAACTGGGGTTCTAGTGGGAAGCCGTGATCAGTAGAGTACAGCAAGTTGAAGGTGAGGCAGTAACTTATGGAAGAAGACATTGCGAAGTGGTCGCGCTATTTCATGAATTGGCAGGAGTTAGAATTCATAGGTTAGCCGTTGGATCGGGTCCCAGTATCTTAACGGTCTACGAGCTAGTTAGGCTTGTAACCAGAAGGTCCTGGGTTCGAACCCTTGGGGTGGGTGCGTACTGATGAAGAGTCCCAAACTGGACTGACAAAACAGCTGTCCAGTATTCACTGCTGGTTTTCCAATGATCCTCTAACTGATGTAAGCTTAGGATGAAATCCTCGAACCAATCAAATATGTAGGAGAAAATGGAGATGGATGGATTGGGCATCCGCTGAGGAAGCCATCGAATGACATCGCTTGCAATACATGCCATCTCTCGAGTGGAATCCCAATAAGAAGCACGCTACGAGTGAGTCTTCGGTGCGAGAGTGACATGAAGGAGATTGTGTGCGTAGGAGGAGGAGATGGGAGATTATGGGCAATCGTGGCCCTAGCCGTTTGAAGAGGACAGCAGGGTGGAACAAAGTGGAAATGTGTTGTTGAAGCGATATTTTCCACTGGGAATCTAATGGAACATGTATAATAATTGGAATGACGCAACGGTGGTAGCAGGGACTCGGAAAATATTACCACCAGTAAAATCAATGGATAGGAAACAATGAGATTATACAGACGAGTCACTTGGTGTGATTATGCTCAACAAACTGTGCTAGTGACTTTATCATCCGGTAAATAACACAGTTTCACTGCGTGTGTTTGTAGTCTACAAGATACTTTGTCAGTGAATATTTTGGTATCTTGACTTATACATACTTCAACCAATTTGGTGAATGCCCCATACTACTACTGTGACGGCAAAAGACAAGGGGCAGGCAACAGACCCTGTATTGAGAAAATCAAGAGGTATTTATAGATTTTTATATGCATTATTATTATTCGTTATTGTTGGCGGAGAAGCAACCTTTTCTGATTGGTTGTTTTCTTGTTGAAGGTTATTCTGTACTGCTTGTGACCGTTTCTTAGAAAGTTGAGCCATATATCTGCAAATTGTATTTGTACGCATTAAGCCTGCTATGGCTGGCTGGTGAGTTCCTCAAGGTTAGGCTTGGTTATTGTTTTTTTCTCACTACTCCGATTCGGGACGTAAACAATGACGTAAACTGTTGTCTATAATTTTGGCTTGCAGTCAACTCTCGCCACGCTACTAATAATGTTAACAGCTTTATTGTAAACACTACTTTTCTTACAAATATGGAGTTTTCAGCATGTACAGTATTTCATTACAGGGGCAATGAATAAAACAGGGCATTTACATCGATAAATACATCGTTAAATAAGAATGTGAATATAAAATGAAATCTAAGTGCGAATATTAACAACAATATAGTGATGAAAGAAAGAATAAAAAAGGCTATTTCCTTAGTGTTTCTGATTAAGTTAGTGGTGTCATACCGCCTTACACTTTTCTCACCACATAACATGCGTCCCAAATAAGGTATTGTAGAGTTGTTATACTTGGTTGTCCAAGCATCAAGCTTCTTGTAGTTACTTCTAATCCTTCCTGATGAGATGTAGAGGGACAGTTATGTATCGAGGGTTTCTCAGGGTCTGGTGAGATGATATTCACTAATATCTTCAATGAGTTCATGTGTCTATCTGTAACAGCATTAACGGGTTGGTTTAGCGACAACCCCTCTCGCCCTACTGACAGCTTTCATTCCTCTTCACAATGTAACAAAGTCTTCCTAAATTAGTACAGGTAAGATTAAAGGCAGACAGATAGAGAAGGACACGTAAAAGACAAGAATTTAAAAAAACTGTAGAAGTAGAGACTGAGTGATATCAGATTTAGAAAAACAAATTGAGCAAAGAATATTCTTTTCGACAATTTCCTCGCCTAGATCTACAATTTTATTGATAAAAGTCTGCGGTGACGCGAGCACAGTGAAAGTTTGTGACCCGTTTATAAGCAGTGACTGACTGACTTCACATTTGAATCGAAAATCCGAATTCTGTGCTTTACGCTGAGGCGGAGTGAAGTGCAGAAGGTTTCCAAACTGGTTTCAGGTTGATGAAGGCGTATCTTGCCTTTCCGATTCTCACCGGCTGGCTGGCTGGCTTTGACATCTTTGTCCGTTCCACCTGCATTTGAAAAGACGCTTCCTAGATAAGTAAAGGCAGAAAGTAACCTCTATCAAATCTTTCGCGTTGATAGTGATTGGTGCTGGTTATTGATGCTGTTGATTGGTTGGTTATCTTCATCACCTCCGTCTTCTCTATGTTTTGCATTTTCCCTATGCCTACTGACAACTTTCCCCCAGTTATCAAGGAGCATAATATTAAATTTAAAGTTTTGGTTTTCGGGGAATTAATTTGTTCCAAGCCAGATCACGGAATGATCTCAGGAGTATGAAGATAGGTACGAGGGTAAATACTTGCCGATAACATTGGTTGCCAACAACTTAAAAAATTGAGAATTGAAAGAAGTTGGAATTAATGAGTCATTGTATTCCTTCCAATTGTCTATGCGATCAACCGGCTGACCTTGTAACCTATAAGTCCTGGGCTTGATTCCTAGTGAGATCGTGCACGTGTGTGCCAATGAAGAGTCCCAAACCAGGACGAAACAACTGTCTGATTAAAATTAGAATAAAACTGGAGAAAGGATATTATTTCGGATGATGGTGACTAGCAATGGTCTTCAAGGTGTGAGCATGTCACGCTATTTTGTTCTCATTGGCTTCGACACTTGAATCTGTGGATGCGGGGTCTGACTGCCAGCTGGAACACCATCATTCAATGTAGATAAGGATAAAGTGAACTCATAAATCCCAAATAAAACGGTATGTGTGTCCTTGATTCCACCACTAGACATCATCAACCCAAAGTAAAGTCATGTTACTCCCTACAGATATCATCGAAGCATCTGTTCTAGGAGCAGATGAGTCATCAGAGATCCGGTGTGGTGTGTGCTACTGATAAGATTTATCAGTAGTATGTAGATACTTAAAGAGATGTTCATCAGCATAAAAACATCAAATAATGGGGAGATACATTTGATGTCAGAGAAAGCAAATGAAACAGCATTGCAGAAATACATGGGAGACGTGAAAGGAATACAAAGAAACACAGTAAGAATGAAGGCCAGAAGTAGCACAACACGGAAGATCTGTGCAAACGGTGCGTTGTAGATAAGGTGTACATAATTTGACTGTATAGAGATACACAACTGCAAATAAATATTCCTTTGCCACGTCCGGGTCCTCTAATGTTACACGGAGTATTTCAGTCCAAAATGGTCAATCAACGGGAATTCTGAGAATTAAATTGCAACTCTACGCATCATCATCGAACAAAGCATGGAATGGCAATCAAACCTCTATCTCAACTTTATAGACTTTGAGAAGGCCTTCGACAGCGTTGACCGAGAAGTAATTTGGAAACTACTCGAGTACTAAGGCGTACCCAAAATATTCATCAACCTTATTCAACAACTGTACGACAACGGCACATGTCAAGTGATCCACAACGGAAAACTCAGCGAAGCGTTTGGAGTAAACACAGGAGTCAGACAAGGGTGCTTATTATCACCAATGATATTCCTAATTGTGGTGGACTGGATTATGCGTCAGACAGTGGGAAACGAGAAGACAGGGATATCCTGGACCGACGTGAAGAACCTAGAAGACCTGGATTTCGCGCGTGGATGATTTATGTTTGATGTCACACAAAATCGAAGACTTACAAGCAAAAACCGACAAACTGGTCGAAGAAGCAGCAAAGACAGGACTCCAGGTCAACATAGACAAGACGGAGGTTATGAAAATAACCAACCAGCAGCAACATCCAGCGCCAATCACCATCAACGGGAGGGATTTGAAAGAGGTTACCTCTTTCACTTCACTTATCTAGGGGGCATTGTCTCAACTACAGGAGGAACGGACGAGGATGTCAAATTGAGAATCGGGAAGGCGAGAAACACATTCATCAACCTGAAACAAATCTGGAAATCTTCGTCACTCAGCATCAACAACAAAATGATTCGGATTTTCAATACAAACGTCAAGTCAATCAGTTCTTCTATACGGATCAGAAACTTGGCGGGTCACAAAGAATATTTCCAACAGGTTGCAGACCTTTATCAACAACTGTCTTCGTTCTATACTCAAGATCAGATGGCCGGGAAGAACAACAACCAACAAGAAACTATGGGAACAAACAAAACAAGAACCAATCGCCTAACATATATGCAGGAGAAAGTGGAGATGGATTGGACACTCGCTGAGGAGGCCACTGGGTGACATCGCGCGTCAGGCCAATGCTTGAGTGGAACCCGAAAGGGAAGCGGCGAGTGAGACGTCCAAGGGTGTCATGGAGGAGATTGTGTGAAGAGGAGTTGAAACAGTATGGATTAACATGGATGCAGGTGAAAAGTACAGCAGAAGATAGAAGCAAGTGGAGACGTGCAGTTGAAGCGCTATATTCCACTAGGAACCCAAGGGAACAATAATAATAATAGTAAATCAAACAATAGAAAGGAAGATTCTTTTATAAAAAGTATAAAAAATCTTACCGCAACTAACTTCTTTTTGCCTAATAGAGCCACACCAATATTATTCCATAGAATTGAATTTTCCGAAGCTTGTCTTATTATAGAGCGATATTTATTCAGTGCAACATTATAATCACCGTGTAAGGTGATAATTGAACTGGCAAGTTGATTAGCTTCAAAATGATTTGGTTGTAACAGGATAGCTGAACTTAGACATTCAAATGCCAACTGTTCTTGATTAATTCGAAGATATAGCGAAGCAAGGCTTGTTTGTAGGTCTGGATCTTCTGGAACTGATCTGTAAGGGATTAAGGTTTTTATTGAATACGTTTTTTCCCACAATAACTTAGAATAATTTTATTATATATATATATATATATGAATTTTAGGAAATTGCATCCCTTGAGGAAATTTAAACAAAGGTGTGAATATTAGATTGGATGATGGTGACTAGCAGTGGAATCTAGGATGCAAGAAGCCGACATGTCAACCTGAGACCGAGCACTTCAGTCCAATCAATCGACGGGAAAATCCAAAATTCAATGATAAAAAGTGTGAATACTTGAAATAATAATAGTACGAAATGGAATAAGAATTATGATCATAGTTAAATATCAATTATCAAGTGGCAAAACAAATAATGTAATACACTGGATAGTTCATAGGATGTGCGTCGGTGGCACAGTGGTTAGGACTCTCACTGACCATGCACATGGTCCGGGGTTCGATCCCCCTCCGATGCACACCTGATATCTATGGTCGGCCTGCAAAATTTGGGCTACCGATATCCATGCTGAAAATTCCATACTTGTACTGAAAATTTGGTGTGGCATCAAGCTGTAATCAAAAAAAAGTATCTACCTATTTTACTGCTCCTATGGAGCCATTTACTTAGGCCGCAAAATTAGGCGTGTTTGTCGTCGGATTTCCGAATATCACTCTGCGTGGTTAAGTAAAGGACAAACAAAATCCATTCATAGCTCTATTCTACCTCATCTTGTGGATACAGAACAACACAAGATTGATGTTAACGAGATAGGTGGCGGCCAAGTTAAACTTTTAGCACCACTAACTCTACTAGTGGAGTGCGACCACACCAATGACCTTGAAACGTGCACTAAACAAGTTAGTGAGACCTGGGAAATAATGTTGTTATCATCAATAAAATATCCTCATCGAAGTGTTATGCTAGTAAATGGGATATCTGGCAAGTTACAGCTTAGGTTTGGGAAAGATTAAGGTACGCTTTACTCCAAGGACTAGTTAGGGTGGGTTCGAGTTAGATTACAGTTAGTTTAGAGATTTTTGTACGTTGGGGTTAGGTTCAGGAAACACTAGAGTTATTGTAGGGTCAGAAGGCCTAAATAATTACATGTATAGAATTTGGTTAAATTACTCTGTTGATATAAGAATAGAATTTGTGCACTGTGGTTGAGTATAATTTTATTATGGGTAAAATTTATTTCGATAAACTCTCACAGTGTTATGCAGTATCATCAACTGATTACGTTTCGAGCATAATTTATTGCTCAGTAAATATTACTGTATTACACAATGAGACTTTATCACAATAAATTTTACCCACAATAGAATTATACTCTGTTGATACTCCAACCTAAAACTGAGAGCTATTTTTATCACATGTGGGAGGAAGGTATCCCCTCTGTAACACTTTTACACAGTTTTTATGCATTTTTTTCATAAATATTTGTGTTCTATGCACAAAAATGTCTTCTTCACGTGACTGGTGCGTTCGAGGTCATTTGCTGATTGGTAGTTAGTGGTGGCTAAAGTTTAACTTTGCCCAGGTGGCTTTCAAAGTCACCTACCTCATAACAACTAATCTTAGTTTTACTTCAAGAGTTCGTCTATTACATATTGCTGAGGATGACTGTTGGGATCTACATTAAGAAACCTAACTTATGTGTCTAAAAGATGCTAGTTCAGACATTGTCCTTACCCCGCTGGCCATCTAGGTTCGAATGATCCTCAATTTCCGTGGAATTTTCCTAATTTTATTTGGTATTCTATTTGCTATTATATTTGTATGCTTATTATAATCTAAGCATCTTCAATGAACTGTAATTCCATTGTGATCTAACTTAAAAAATCGATATTATTTAAAAAAACACCAATATTGTTATTGACTACTATTTTAGAATATTCTATGTATATAAACATGCATTTCTAATTTTAGATCCAGAAGAGGGAATTATCGAAAAGGATATTCTTTACTCAATTTTTTTGTTTTTTCTGAATGGATATATATGTTGGTAGGGGGTGTCTTATTATAGGATTAGTGGGAAAATATAAAACGTTATATAACATGGTGTGAAACTTCATATGATAGGATGTTTTGCCACTTGCCACTTGATATTTAACGATGATTCGACCACAAACATTTTAATTGTATCTCATACTACCATTATTATTTTATGTATTTACACCTTCGATCTAATTCCCTCACCGGATATAATCACTTAAATACCATATTTCCATAAGATTGTACAGCTTGATAATAAATTTGTTGCTGAATCTTGTGTTCGTAAGATAGAATTCAACATTGCAAACAAACAATTTTGGATTTAGAATGATAAGTGGGACAAGTGAAATAATACCGAAAACAGTTCAAAGTGAGAACAGTGACAGTAACGATAATAATAATTGTAGTAATGAGGGAAAGGTACATAGATTGCCTAATTAAACCAAAAATAGAAAATATGAATAAATCAATGCTTATCCCTCCACGGCCGAAGCAGAAATCGTGATTGAACATGCCTCTTTTGTACACAAAGGTTTGGCTTAAATTGATGAATGGTTAAGGCCTTAGCTATCTTTAGAAGTTTAGAACGAAGAAAACGTGGCCCACGTTAACATGAATTCTATAGACCATCTTAAAATCATGGTCGCAGTTGGTAGGGTGACAGAAGTCGATCAAGTATTCTAGAGCATAGAGCCTCTCACACCCTCTCTTTACCCCTTGTGAAACCATGCTGGGATATGTTGCCGAAACCGTGAGTGGGAAGCGTTCTCTAGTCACGGCCAATGTATCTTGCTACACAACAGAAGGTAAACTGATAGGTGCACCTTTCATAGTTCACGAGAGTCATATATATATATATATGACTAGGTGAAGCGTCTGCTGGTGTTGCATGACCAGAAGAAATAGTGTGCTTCAGAATTGAGCCGTTGACTGTTCTGCTTTCGAAAACCTTGCCAGTAGGTGTTCATGAGCACTTTCAAAAAAATATCCCGCTGATACGGCCTATGTATTTAACTCCATAGGAGACAATAAGCCAGGAAATAAACATTGGATTTGCTGCATCTTACTGGTCGCGGCTTCCTACTACTACCCCAGGTCACAGCCTGAATAGGGCTAGTCGCTAGTGAGCAACAGATCTATTTTCTTACAGGATTTCATCATGAACTGACATCAGCTAGAGAACCATTGGAAAACCTGGGAGTACTGGACAGCCGTTTCGTCCTGGTTTGGGACTCTTCATCAATACGCACCCACCGAGATTCGAACCCAGCAACTTCTGGTTACAAGGCGAGCTAGCTCGTAGACCATTAAGCCACTGGGACCCGCCAGATCCAATGGCCAGTCCATGAATTCTAACTTCCGCCAATTCACGATATAGCGCAACTGCTAGCCAATGTCTTCAGCGATTATTTATCCTCACACCCGACCTGCTGCACCCCACTGGTCACGACTTCCCACTGGAACCCCAAGGAACTACCTACCTGAATAGGGCTAGTCGCCAGTGAGCATCTCATTGATATTCAAGTACTGGTTTGTAGGGATTACAAGGCGAGTTAGCTCGTAGACCATTAAGTCACCGGGACCCGATTCAGTGGCCCAATACTTGAAAATCGATCTGATGTTCACTAGCGACGGGCCGTATGCATGCAGTTAACCTGGGGTTCTAGTGGCAAGTCGTGACCAGTACGCTAGAGCAGGTTGAAGGTGAGGCAGTAAGTCATCGGAGGAGATATTTCGAAACATTGGATTTTCTATTTGGCATAATCAAAATGTCAGTTAGTTGCAGTTTACTCCGTATCATTAAAACGATAGCCACTAAACAGTTAAAATCGAATTCGTATATTCAAAAAAAGAATAACTTGTAATCCTATAAAATTATAAATATGACCATAAATATATAAAGTGAAATATGCTCAACTTACAATGTTGCTTTTTTCAATGTTTCAATAGCTAAATCTATTGAACCTTTTTTCAAATGAACATCTGCTAACCATTTTAAGGGTTTAATATTTCTTGTAAGTTTACTAGAATTGATAAAATATTCTTCTGCCTAAAGTAAAGCGAAAAAAATGTGACTAGTATTCTGTGTGATTTACAACTTACCAGATCAAATTGTTTCAGATAAAAGTAACATAAACCTTGTCCAAATTGTATTTCCTAGAAAGTAAGAAAGAAACAAAAACAGACAGAATATAGTGAAAATATTCATTCAGACATCTATAAAACACAAAATAATTGAGCAAAGAAGAATATCCTTTTCGATAATTTCCTCCTCTTCTGGCTCTACAATTATTTATGCATGTTTATATACATAGAATATTCTAGAATAGTAGTCAATAACAACATTAGTGTTTTTACGAGTTGATCACGGATTGATATCTGTTAGATAATAATAATAGCTTTATTCCAAATAGTATTTGTGGTACAGGTATGGAATTTTCAGCTTGCATTACAATATTGCATCCAATTACCTCATAAATTTTTATAAGATTTTTAAAAACAAAAAGCAACAACAATAAAAAAATGGATAAATAAAAAGAAAATAAAAAAGAACAGCGTTGCATTCACATTTTAAACAATGCACCACAGGAATATGAAATGTAAAATTAGTGTGTAATACAATATGTGAGCAACAATATAATAGTAACAAAGAAAGGAGAACAAAAGCTAATGGGAACTATTTGTTAGAGTGCCGCAGTAAGTTGATCGTGTCATACCTAACGGATTTCTCATCACATAACAGCTGTGCCAGATAAGGTATTAGTACTTGTTAGTCCTAGCATATAGCCACCTATAGCTGCTTCTAGTTCCACCAGATGAAATGCAAGGAGAGAGCTGCGGATAGAGAAGATGCTCGGGGTCTCACAATATAGTATTCGCTAGTTTCTTACATGACATTATATGTCTATCCACAATAGTGTTAACCAGTTGGTTTAACGATATCCCACTTCCCATACTAACAGCTTTTAGTGCCCTTCTCAGCAAAGCAAAATCTTTCTTAAGTAGTCCAGGAAAGATTAATAGGGAGCAGTAAAGAGGGATGGGTAGAATACAAGAATTGACGAACTGAGAAAGCAAAGATTGCTTCATACCAGACTGCCTTGATTTCTTAACGTAGATTATATTATTGTATTATTGTTCCCTTGGGTTCCTAGTGGAACATAGGGCTTCAACTGCACGCCTTCACTTGTGTTCTGTCTTCTGCTGTACTTTTCACCTGCATCCATGTTAGTCCATACTGTCTCAGCTCCTCTTCACACGATCTCCCCCATGTCACCCTTGGACGTCCCACTCCTAACGTAGAACGTTAAGCGAGACATCTTTCTAGTAACTGGCAAGATGTGAGAGGACCAGGAAAGATCGGAGGAAATACTCAGTCCAAGGTACTTGACATTAGATGTAGTTTCAACCTCTATGCCGTCAATGATAGTGGGGCCATGTGAGCTAGCTAGTTGCTGTAGGTTACGTTTTCGTCTGAAAGTGAAATTTACTACCTGACATTTAGATGGATTTAGCTTAAGACCGTTTGAAGAGGACCACTGACTAATTTTCGACAGAAAGTAATTTAATTTGAAACAATCTGACTGAGAGTTGACAGGCATAGAAACAGAGAGGTCATCAGCATACTTGACAAAAGTGGCTACATCAGAATGGGGCAAGTCATGTAAGAAAAAAGAAAACAGAAAAAGAGAAAGAACAGCACCTTGAGGGACACCAGCTAAAGTAAGTGAGGTAGTGGAGGACCTTCCATTATAGATGGTGTACTGCTTCCTATCATAAAAATAGGAATGCAACCACTTATTTGTCCAGCTCTCACTCTGTGTTGCAGCAAGCTTACTTAGCAAGAGAAACCTAGGTACAGAGTCAAATGCAGATGTGTAATCGAGGAAGGCACACCGAACATATTTGGCTCCTCTATCTAAACTAGAGACTATATTATGATATAGAACTACAGCGGCATCTAAGGTCAAAACAAAACTAACCCTTACAAAACAAACTATAGAAAATATTAGTGTTCTTTAAATAGCATCGATTTCTAAAGTAAGATCAATGGAATTACAGTTCATTAAAGATGCTTAAATTATAATAATAATAAATATATAGTAACAATTAGAATATCAAATAAAATTAAGGAAATTTCTAAAAAAAGTTGAGGATCATTCGAACCTAGATGGCCAGCGGCTTAAGGACAATGTTTGAACTAGCTTCTTTTGGACGCATAAATTAGGCTTCTTAATATGAATTCCAACAGCCTCAGTAATATTCAGTAATCGAACTTTTAAGGCGAAATTAAGATTTTTTGGTATGCGGTAAACGAATTTGAAAGCCGCCTTGTTGATATCAATGTTGTTTTCTGTATCCACAAGATGAGATAGAATAGCACTACGAACAGATTTTGTCTGTCCTTTACTTAACCACACAGAGAATTGGTTGACTCCAGGTTTGATCATGAACATACTCGCGTTAGAGAGGCTTTGAAAACCAGAAAATACTGGACAAATGTGACTAGATGGGTCCATTAAGGTGAGTGTGCCGACAGATACTCACCAATGACACTGATTGGCGTTGGCACTATATAGCGAGAAATGGCAGAGGTTAAAACTGATAGACCACTGGTTTCAGTCCTAGAGGCTGAATAGTTAATGAACTTCCATTGTGACGTGAAGGTTCTACGTCCTACCCTTACCGGTGGGGTCATGGATACGTACTTCTGCAGAGCCCCAAACGGAGAGACAATAGCTATCCAGTACTATCTGGTGGATTTCAATGGTTCTCTAACAGACGTCACTTCAAAATAAAACTTGAAAAAAAATGCACTATAAAAATTGCAAAAACAGGGCTTGTTGATGAACACATTTCGAGTTTTACACTAACATACCCAATCATTTTGATTAAGTTTGTAAGCATCTTTATAAGTATTCAATGCTTCATTGTGATGACCTTGTAAAAATCTGTAACAGAAATCAATATTTAAAAAGTTAGTCATTTTTCAACTGTAAAATAATGAAATTATTGATGAATATAAGATTTGAACACTCTCCGATTCTTAATGGTTCACTAATGAAGATGTTTCAGTTCCTTCTTCAATTTGAAGTTAATCCAGTCTCTGAGAAGCCACACCTGAAGGTTAATCTAATGCTGATTATTGGCTGACTACAGAATGAAGTCATCTGGAGTTCTAGTGAGAAATCATGAACAGTAAGGTTCACAAGGTTTTGTTTGTGTGTATGTGTGTCAAAACAGATTCACGGCAGAAATTAGAATCCATAGACTGGCCATTAGTTTCCGTCCCTGTGATGCATCCGTCAACGGGACCACCTTGTAACCAGAAAGTTCTGGGTTCAGTCAATAGCATTGGTGTCCTGGGTGTGTGATGATGAAGACTTTTAAAATGGGACGAAACATCTGTTTAGTACTCCCTGGTTTTTAATCATTGTTTAACTGATATCATTTTGTGGCCTAGCTTGAGTAATTTTCATGGAAATACCCATCCAGACATGGAAATAAGGATAAATAGTTCAGCGAAGAGTCACTTTTCAGCGAAACCATTCAATTACCGGGGCAATAGCACTTATATGCCTAACTATTTTTGTATATGTGTGTATATACAGCACAAGAATAAAAATTAGTTTAGAGTAGTGTTCACATCATCAAAATATTTCAAAAGTCAGTGATGAATAATCAAATTGTAACTTGGGGGTTGGGGAAGATTTGTAAGTTTAGACTAGGTTTACTAGGGTAACGTATTATGAAAAATGTTCAGAAAGAAACTGGCTGTTGGTAATATAATATTAATAATCACTTTATCCCAAACAGTAATGATTACACAGAATGGAATTTTCAGCGTTTGTTCCTACATATTGCAACAACAGTAATAATAATATTAATAATGAAACCAGTATAAACAGAGTGTTTATGGAAACATAATGAAGTATAAGTAGATAGTAGAATACATAATATATGTAATAATAATAATAGTCTTTGTTTATACTTTGCAGTCCAGTTACTGATTTAAAAACTTTGTAAGTTCTTTTCTAACATCTGACTATCTCTTCACACAAAATCCGTGCTAAATATGGTGGTACGGTAGAATTTTCATATTTAGTAGCTAGCTGTATGAGCATAAATTCTTATGGGGTTTCTTCTGGTTTCACCCCCGAAGATATAAAAGGAAAAAGTTGAGAATAAAGAGGATGTTCAGTATCAGACAAGATAACTTTAACCAATTGCTTGCAAGAATTGAAGTGTCTATTGATAATTATTATTATTGTTCCCTTGGGTTCCTAGTGGAACATAGGGCTTCAGCTGCACGTCTCCACTTGCTTCTGTCTTCTGCTGTTCTTTTCACTTGCGTCCATGTTATTCCATACTGTTTCATCTCCTCCTCACACGATCTCCTCCATGTCACCCTTGCACTGACGTCCCACTCGCCACTTCCCTTTCGGGTTCCACTCGAGGGCCTGACGCGCGATGTCACTCAACGGCCTCCTCAGCGAGTGTCCAATCCATCTCCACTTCCTCCTGCATATTTGTTGGGCGATTGGTTCCTGTTTCGTTTGTTCCCATAGCTTCTTGTTTGTGATTCTTTCCGGCCATCTAATCTTCAGTATGGAGCGAAGACAGTTGTTGATAAAGGTCTGCAACCTGTTGAAAATATTCTTGGTGACCCGCCAAGTTTCTGATCCGTAAAGCGAAATTGACTTGACGTTTGTATTGAAAATCCGAATTTTGTTGTTGATGGTGAGTGACGAAGATTTCCAGATTGGTTTCAGATTGATGAATGTGTTTCTCGCCTTCCCGATTCTCGATTTGGCATCCTCGTCCGTTCCTCCTGTGGTTGAGACAATGCTCCCTAGATAAGTGAAAGAGGTTGTCTATTGATAATAGTGTCAGTTAATTGGGTCAAAGGCACACCACTAACCCTATCTACAGTCATCAGTGTGCTGTGTAATACGATATTATCTTTTTTGAGAAGTCAAAGTAACAATAAGGGTGAACAATAAAGAGGAATAGACAGAATACATTAATTAGTCAGTTGTAAGAGAACAGGTTGAGTTATGTCAGCAGAAGGTCTCAACTTCTTTATGTGATGAATCGAATGAAAGATTTTCTTAGATATCAACAATGATATGAGACGACCGACAGAGATTCTAGGAGAAACTGATGCAGAGATGAGAGATATTCGATCTACCCCCTATCGTCACACTGCCATCAATATTACAGGAATCAGGCGATCCGCGCGAATTCTGTTCGCAACTGAAACTAAAATCAACAAACAGTCTGACATTTAGATGGATTCAGTTTAAGACCATTTATGTGAGACCATTTGTTGACTTCAGACAACAATCTACTCATATAAGAACAACCCAAAGCAGAAACTACTGGGACAGAAATGGTTACATCATTGGCATATTTAATGCAGTCAGCTTTGGAAGAATATAGGTCATGCAAAAGAAAGAAAACAGAAAAGAAGAGAGTACAGCGCCTTGAGGCACACCACTTTCCGTTAGCAACGAAGTGGAGCGCTTCCCATTTACAACAGTATGTTGTTTTCTACCCGAAAAATAAAAAGGGAGCTATTTCTTGATCCTGGGCTCAGTGCCTGCTGAACTAAGCTTACTTAGTAAAAGTGCCCGTAGTCTAAAAAGGAGGTTCTAGCAAACTTTGCCAAGTAATCCATAACAGGAAACTTACGGAACCCTCCGAAGTGAGGACAGGAGAAAGACAAGGCTGCCTACTTTCGCCAATGATTTTCCTGATTCCAGTAGACTGGATAATGCGACAGACAGCGGGCAATGAGGAAACAGGCATAAAATGGACTCACACAAAGAACTTGGAGGATCTGGACTTCGCCGATGATATATGTCTGATTTCCCACAAACTGGAAGATATGCAAGTGAAAAGTTACAAGTTGGCAGAAGAAGCATCAAAGATAGGACTCCAGGTGAACATAGAGAAGATAGAGGTGATGAAGATTCCCAGGCAACACCACCAACAGCAGCAACAACAACAGACAACAATAAGCATAAGTGGGAGGAACCTGAAAGAAATAACCTCCTTCACCTACCTAACTGGAAGCATCGTTTCGACTACAGGTGGACGGAACTGACGAGGATATCAAAGCAAGAATCGGAAAAGCAAGACAAGCTTTCACTACTCTCAAGTCTGTGTGGAGGTCAACAACACTCAGCATCAAAAATAAGATCCGGATTTTCAACTCCAATGTGAAGTCAATCAGTGCTACTATACGGATCAGAGACCTGGCGCCGCGTCATAAAGAGCACTTCAAACAAACTACAAACCTTCATTAACAGTTGTCTTCGCTCAATACTCAAGATCATATGGCCAGAAAGGATCAGCAACAGGGATCTTTGGGAACGAACCAACCAGGAACCGATTGTGAAACAAATAGGCAGGAAGAAATGGAGATGGATTGGCCATACTCTGAGGAAACAATGCATCAAGTGACATCACTAGACAAGCCATTGCTCGAGTGGAACCTGAAAGGGAAGCGGCGAGTTGGTCGTCAGTGCGAGGGTGACTTGGAGGAGGTCATGTGAAGAGGAGATGAAAACGTGTGGGCAGACTTGGAGCCAGGTGAAGATTCTAGCAGACAACAGAACGCAATGGAGACTCACGGCTGAAGCCCTATGTTCCTGTAGGAATTAAAGGATACAATAATAATAATAATAACAAACTTTGCATCTTTATCAAGACTTGAATCAATATTGTGGTGGGGTACAACGACAGCATCTAATGTGCTTCTACTGCATCTGTAAGCAAACGGATTAAGGTCATTGAAGAATTTCAAAGAAGGTTTAAGAACATGCAAGAGACGTTTCTCCATAGTTTTCAAAACTGGAGACTTGATTTCGATTGTCCTAAACTTGAGATCTGATCCAGAAGATGACTATGGTACAGCATGGCGACAAGTATCAAGATAAATCATGTAGTAGCTGAAGAGAGTAAAAAGGTAGTTATTTAAAAGAGTAAATCTGATAAATGTCATACGATAACTGCACAACGTAGTGGCTACTGTCAGCCATTAAGTATGCAAGCAGAATTCATTCAAAGTTATCTACAAAGTCAAAAGAAGCCTCCTAAAAACAGTATGCTTCTGCATACTTTGCATTGCCCGAGGCCTTAGCCATTCGGATGAAAAACCTTGATTTATGTACATGGAAGAAATTTCTCCACACTCTCCTCCTTCTACCTTGGGTACAATTCCAAGTTCAGGAACTGTTATCAGTATTTTGTTAATATGTTACATCTGTAGAAGAGGAAGATAAGTGTCTATCTTTCTTAGATATATTACTTAGTCGACAATGAGATCCATCAATAAAACGATCTATTTATAGCAAACCTACCTGGACAGGACAGTATCTTAATTATCACAGTTACTGCCCTGTTCGCTACAAAAGAGCCTTAGGGAGTGAGGTGCCCCTTCAGTAGAATTCAACGAATATGCACTGAAGACACACTTGATGAGTGCGGAAGAAAGCTGATACAAACTCTGGCTGATAATATTTATCCAGAGAAGTTCATCAGGAGATACAAAGTAGTCAGAACACCAAGACCCATTCTCCAACTCTCCGCTAAGAAAGATGTGTACATCAAGCTACCCACTGTATTTACCAATTTGAATGTACGTGTGACCTCACATACACAGGGAGGACTCATCGATCTCTGAAAGTAAGGGCTTGCTTCAGAGCATATTCCTAAATGGCCCTGGAAGCAAATAGAATCCCCAGAATCCAATAATGGTGAGAACAGGAGACCTAACTCCTCTACTGCTAAACATATTTGAGAGACAGGACATAAAATTGACGTTAACACATCTTTTAACTTACGTATAAAACGTGTCTTGGGCGTATCCTAAAGTTTGTGGAAGCCATAGCTGGAAAGTAGAAAGTTTAAACCACCTTTATGCGTTCAAAGCAACAATTCGTCATCACACTAAATCTTCCTTGGTTAACTTTGTTTTGATACCAGTCAGGGTAAATGTACTATTGTAACACTTTTGAACACTTGTCTGAGTACTCTTTGATTAACCCTCCGTTTTGTTTCTGAACTTTTTTCATAAGACGTAACCTTTGTCTGAACTTACAAATCTTCACCTACCCCCTAGTTATAATCTGATTATTCTCCAATGTCTTTTGAAATACTCTGGTGGTGTGAACAATACTCTACACTAATTTTTATTCTTGTGCCATTTGTATATATATATATATATAAGGATTGAGTTGACCGTGAGTTAAGCTTGGATCACATGCATGGTTGGAGAGCATTTCACCACTGAACCACCGACACCTTATTTATACTGGGATGCAGGTCAAATATAACCAGAATCAGTCAATGGCTGGTAATATTCCCCAAACACAAAAAGATCTGATGTAATAGACATACATGTAGTATTTTAATTTATTTTGAGGGATCTTTTTGGATTCCTCGACCTCTCATCCTTAGTGTTTTAAATGACCCCTGGATTTAGTCTAAAGTCACCTACATGATTCAGTCCAGCAATTTTGAACTAAATGAGCAGGTGTTATGTTTAAATAACATGCACTGTTGGTGAGGCTACCTGAGATTGATAAACTAGAATTGACATTTTGGGTTAAAATATGAGTTTCTGAATAAATTTTTTGCTGACGGAGAAGTGAATCTAAATGGGTGTCTACAGAATATTTAACATCTGCTGAACTTCTGAATATTTCATGTTCGAAAAGTAGTCAACACAACATTCTACCAAAAGATACTGTATCATCTTAAAAATTTACAGACTATAACCTAATTAAATACCACTTTGTCTCATATAAGCGTCATAGATGTTTTGTTCAGTAAATGGTACACAAAACTAAGTAAAAAGCGCAAATTTATGTGTAGAAATAATAATCAGTTGAAATGGCATCAAGTAAAAATGCATATAACAGACAACTTACAATGACCTTGCAATCTGTTTAAGTATATCAGATGAATTATTATTACTTTCTGAACACTTTGTAAAACAATTCAACGATTCTTGAATACAACCATTTGATCGATGAATAAGACCAAGGCAATAAAGATGATAATCATCATTTAAAGAAAACTGCTCAAAATTTTTAACGATATCTTTACATTTTGAAAATGCAGATTGTGTATATAGGATGTGTAACAACCAATTTACACTTTCTACAGGTTGAATGTATAAAGAATCTTGAAATATCATTTGAAATTAAAATGAAATACTCACTGTTTACATGCATTTACCTTCAGTTCATCAGATTACTTTGATAGGTGGTTGAGCAACTATGGAGGTAGGTTGACGCAAAGGTTATGTCAAGGATATTTGAATATTCATTCTTCTAAAATTAATAAACAGATTTTTAAGGATTTTATCGCTCAGTCTGAGCTGATATTTTCAAATTGTCTATTGTATAATTAATGTATTGATTTATATATGAAACGAACTTCACCACTAGATTTTAATGGAAAAATATCTCCAGCTGAAAACTATCAATTAAATACTTCTACTTTAACCGTAGTGAGATATTCTACACCTCGAAAAGTTGACTGATTAGCGGAAAGTTGTCATTCAAACTGACAGTTTTAGACTCAAGGGTGTGTCCTGTTTATGAGTCAAAAATAAATAAGGTCAAAAAAACGACCAAAGTAAAGAGGGAAATAATAAATCAAAGTAACACCATTTGCCCATAGTCTGTTTCGTTTCAAATTCCAAGTGATTTAAATACACCTCCTAAACCATACACAGCAGAAGCAAGTCAACAGATCAGCCAAAATGCATAGGGTAGAAATCAGCTGTGCCCATGAACTTTTCCAATTTTCTGAACATTTACTAGGTAAATTTTAAGGACAGAGGAAGCCTATAGTGATTCTCTATTTTCAAATTAAATTTGTTAAAATATCCCATGCTACTGTCATATTCAACTGTTTCCTTCTGAAAGTGTGTATAACATGAGATAATTTGTCACTTTTTGCGGTAATGACCTGATCATTTGGAACTTTGAAAAGTTTAGGCAACCACATGAGTTGCATGATGACAGAAATTTTATGCCATGTATCTAAAAATATATAGCTTGAAGTCAAAAACATCACACACTGCTTTTGCACGATTTGAACTTTTCGTACAGAGAGACAAAAGAACCCCATCAAGGCGAAATTTAGTAGTCATCATGGAGACGAAAAGACTGGACGAAGAATGTATCTCGTGATTTGAATGAAGGTAACAAATTAAAGCATTTAACATGTGTCATTACTTGCTTCAGAACCTATGTTTATAATGCTCCAAGTTTTCAACAGCTTCGCCCAAACCTCTAAGCACAAGAAGTACCTGTTGATATAAGTATAAGACTTCGGCACTGTGGTAGATTACAACTCCATTATGGATAAGATTTTATTTTGATAAACCACACAGTGTTGTACAGTAATATCAACTGTAACTCTTTCATGCCCCAGTAAAAAATTCAAGAGGTAAAGTAAAGCTTTTGGAGTAACTTGAGCGAGGGATAAATATGTGATACACTTCTTCCAAGACGACCGCAAATACCCTTCAGTGCTTACCCAAATTCCCCTAACTCCTGAAAAACTAATGAATTTCCTCAAAATTATAAAATTGCGCTAAATGCCACAAAATTTCCCTGGCACCTACAAATCACCAATAAACACCTGCAAAGTCTTCTTGGAATTGTTATGGATCCATAAGAAACTCCGAGTTTTCTAAAATATCCATGATAAGTAAAACAGAATGAACGAGACAATTTGCAAGATATCTAGCAAGTGTTATCTAACATGAGCTACTTTTATTTCGTGAATTATTTTCAGCTGCTTATATCTCAAACAATAGCCAAATACAAATTACAGAGGTCCTGAAAAATACTTTAGTGTAGCAAATTTCTCACAGTTAAGGGTGTACTATCAGGGTGGAAAGCAGTATCCAGTGGAGTGCCTCAGGGAACTGTATTAGGCCCCTCGCTATTCCTATTATACGTTAATGAGCTACCGGGGATTCTTACTTCATCTTCATTGTTATTTGAAGACGACATTAAGATATGGAAAACTGCAAATGGTAACGAGGATAAGTCAGTCCAACAAACTGATATAGATAAATTAGCTGAGTGGTTGAACCTGTGGAGTTTGGAAATGAATTCTAGGAAAAGCGCGGTAATGCACTTAGGTCAGAAGTTTTATACGTCGTACTTCCTAGGGGACACAGAACTACCTGATGTTAAGGAACAGAAGGACCTAGGAATCATTGTCAGCAATGATTTGAAAACAACTGCAAATTGCAATTCAGCCGCAGCTAGGGCTTTCTGAATGCTATGGACACTTCGAAGGGCTTTCAAACGATTAGACGAGGGCATGTTCCAAATACTCTGAGCAACATATGTCAGGCCTCATCTAGAATACTGCGTACAAAAGGCGGGTCCATGCTTCAAAAAGGAGGCACATATCCTAGAGAGAGTACAGAGGGTAAGAACGAAATTAGTTGGTGGTATCTCACATCTTCCTTATTATAAGAAGATGGAGCATTTAAATCTCTTCCGGTTATCATACCGAAGGAGGAGAGGCGACTTAATTTTAGCATACTTTATACTTAAGGTTGATTAAGAAACTGACCTTTCTAAACTTTTCCCCCCTTCTAGGATACATTAACGGAGTCACCGCAAAAAGGTGCTCAAAACGAGGGCGATTAAAATACGTGCAGAACTCTTTGCCTGTTTCAGTAATATCAGCTCCATCAGTGAACGCTTTCAAAGAGAAGTTATATATCTGCAGAGATATATTTTGCAAGGATTAACACAGGCCACAAAAGCCTTCTATCGTTATCACCTGAATCTGAGTTCCATCACATTCTGGATAGAAAGTATTTGCGACATAACCCCGAAATTATGAGGGAAAAAATTTTTTTAACTGTTAAAAGACTAAGTATTCACAATATAATTCAACAAGAGTTGGGAAGAATTCTACTCGAAACCTTTTTTATGAAGTAAAAGAGAATGTTTGTATTCATACAAACATTCAGTCAAAACAATAAGTGATGTAATAACCTTATCTTTCCATAAACGTTACTTTACTTCGACAACAGGTTCACAAACTCTTTCAACTGTAGAAAACTAATTTTAGTTTACCACAGCATTTTCATACTGAAGAGGATGCTAAACAACAATTTTGACCCTAATTCTTAATGCGATAAAACAAAACTCGAAAAAGTTGGTGTCCATTCATCAGAATTAATTTTACTTAAAAAACCTTGTTACTGTAGTTTTCTGTGATTGTTCACATAATTGAAATGGTTTTAGTCCACATAGATAACTATATGCATTTCCGTAAATGTATTTGTAAGTTTGTTTTTCCACCCAGTAGGTTTCCATCACAGTTGGTATCTACTTTGAAGGGGTTTGCAAGAAGACTGAAGAGTAATCATCGAGATGGTCGATTCGCATGTTTGGGATGGCATCATCTCAATCTTTGCAAATTGGTAAGGACCCAAATGCCCAAATGCGTCGGTGGCACAGTGGTTAGGACGCTTGCCAACCATGCACATGGTCCGGGGTTCGATCCCCTACCGACGCACACCCGATATCTATGGTCGGCCTGCAAAATTTGGGCTGCCGATATCCATGCTGAAAATGCCATACTTGTACTGAAAATACGGTGTGGCATCAAGCTGTAATCAAAAAAATTCTTTGTCAGTCATTCTCCGAAAGTCGATGTATTTTGATCAGAAACTATTCGGAGGTAACTTAAACGGTTTTTCCAAGCTCAATAATGAAGGAGTTAGAGTTTGCCATACAGTTAGGGGACGGGTGTTATTTTAACCTTTGCTTCTTACGTACATAATGGTTTCTGATTCCCAGTGTGTCCGAATGTAAACAGCTAATAAATTCAGAAGGCGCTTTAATGTTTGTACCAGTAAACAATTCCACAAAATTATTAACCACAGCAATCATCACCGAACATCGGATGCTGACCCTTACTGTTTAAGTCGATTTGTTTGGCTGAAGGCTTCCGGTCAAGCATCCATACCATTTGGTACTCGGTCGCGTCATGTTGGCGCACGATCAATAACCAGTTGAGCATTCATCTCGGTCTACAATTTTGTCCTGAAATATATCTCGTAGTTTGGAGGATTAACTCTGGTCTTTTGTTCTGCCTTTGGTCCACGAGGAACGAATACTATAGAAGTTGTTGGTATTTGATCTTGCGTTAGTATACTCCGTACAATCCGCTAACGTCGATACCGTCGGCCTCTAAATGTTCATTTGTTCCCCCTGAGAATAGTGGATTTGTTTCACCGGAAGCACTGTTAAAATTGACATTTGTCGATCACTGAACATTTTTCGAGATTTTTAACTGAGAAAGAAGTAATTCAATAGGTTTTATATTGGGAAGGAAAATATGCCGTTAAGAAAGGTCACTGAAAGTTAAATTTGCCAAGTCATTTTGAACTGTTGACAGGGAATAGTAGTGTGACATTTTAGTCCTCCAGAGTTGGGTTACCACAAGTCATGAAACTATTCATCCTTGTGTACAGTAGGTTCGGTTTGACGTTGGTCAGTAAAGTGTTAAATATTACACAAAAGTAATTAATGGAAATGCGGTATAATAATAATATTTCATGGTCATAGGCCCAGATTCAGTTTTACTCATTATGCGACTGTAGGAACTTAACTAACTGAATTAACCAAAGTATTCTGAGCTAGTTTACTTAGTTGTCAAAACGAAAGAGGTATGCCGTCGACCAACTATTCTAAGTAGGCATTTAGCGACCCTATATATATTCTAACTCTGCGTTTACAAAACTAACTCATGTGTTCATATTACACGTATGCTAACTGCACATTCGTTCGTGGAGCATTTGCCATTGTATTGTTGAACACCGCTTTTCGTTCCTTACAAACATATTTTATGAGGTTACACACACTTGCCTTCACCTGGTGACTTTCGAAATTGATTTCTCCAAAAATGCATCTTTTCAAGTTTTCACTTATGCTTCTTAATAGAACGTCGTTCGTCTTTGGCCGTGTACAGCTTTAGCACGTCGCAGAATGTGAAAGCGCAGATGTACTATAGTACTGTATGGAAGAAAAGACCAATGAGGCTCGAAGGAATGTTTATTAGGATCAACTCGTTGTATGTACATAAATTTGGTATACCATATCTCTATTGCTTTGTTTGCGCATCATTTGCAAGTTGGTCGAATATCAC